GCATGTGTGCCTCAGCCTCCCCAAGTGCTGGAATTATGTGCATGGACCACCGTGCATGTGTGCTTCAGCCTCCCAAAGTGCTGGAATTATGTGCATGAACCGCCGTGCATGTGTGCCTCAGCCTCCCCAAGTGCTGGAATTATATGCATGAACCACCGTGCATGTGTGCCTCAGCCTCCCCAAGTGCTGGAATTATGTGCATGAACCGCCCGCCGTGCATGTGTGCTTCAGCCTCCCAAAGTGCTGGAATTATGTGCATGAACCACCGTGCATGTGTGCCTCAGCCTCCCCAAGTGCTGGAATTATATGCATGAACCGCCGTGCATGTGTGCCTCCCTTTCCATTTAAAATCTTTGGAGAAAGCATTTTAGAAGAAAGTGGGTCTCTGGTCTCAGGTTTTGTCTGATCTCTCATGTCTAGGATAGTTTCTTTCTAGATAAATAGGTCCCATATTGTTAGGAAAGCTCATTTTTAGTAGGTTGTGAAGTCTCACGTTGTACAAAGAAAATGTAGGGGAAGGGAGAGAGGAAAAAAACAGGAAAAAAGGAGGAAATAAACAGAGAAACAACAAAGAAAGAACAAGCCTGGAAAACTGGTAGAGGCCGTATTACTCTCAAGGCCATATATCAGTAGGCAGGTATGAAAACGGTTCACGTGTATAAAGAGATTGCTTTTATTTTCTTCCATACTTTAGGTTCAGTTTATAAGGTTTTAAGAAAAGCACAGCTTAACTTTTAGTGGTTTCACATCAGGAAAAATGAGGGAGGGGAAAGAAAAGAAAGAAGGGAAAACACCGAAAACATCATTTTGAGAGCTGTAGCCAGGAGAAGTTTTAGAATTCAGTCCAAAATGTAAAAAACAATAAAAATGGAAAAACATTAGACAAGGCTAGAATCTAATAACAGCTATGCTGTAGTTAATTATGGTTAATTTTGAAACATGACTTTTCTGTCTCCAATTCCCCAATTTCATTAAAGACAAAATCATAGTAGGATCAACTTATTTGTAAAATAGGTTTTAGTTCTATTATACTTGGCTTGATAATTTGCATAAAGTGCAGCAAGACTAATCATTTGCCATACGGGCTCTCTTTTTAAACTTGGCAATTGTCAGCTCAACTTGCATACTAAAGGAACAACTCTGGGGTGAAAATCAGGTAGGGAAATGTATATCTCTAAGTAAAAAGAGAGGGAGAGAGGGAGCAAGAGAGAGAGGGAGAGAGAGAGGGGGGCAGGCTGGGTCTCTTAGAAGGAGATTAAAAATGGATGCCAAGCCACAAGCCAAGCATAAAATTATAGGAATCTACTGTAGGAATTTATGAGGAGACCAATTTTATTTAGATAGGTAGTTTTAAATTTAGTCTCTGTCTTTTAACTGGACCTCTGAGCTCTGGGCAGAGCCCACACTGAATCCTGGATCTCCAGAAGGAGAGAGATCTCATGAGACTACGCCATGTAATGCTTTCACAGTGCACTTTGTTACAAAGACATTTCTCTAAGTGTTTAAACCACTCCCTTTCTCATCTTAGACATACAAGAGTAGCCCCTGTAGTAATAACTATTTTAGTTAAAAAAAAATCAGGTAATGTAATACAAGAACAATCAGTTTAAGATGTGAGAGGAACTTTTCTGTTTACACTCTCGGGGTTCCATAGGGAAAAACAGAGGTTTATCCCCAGAAGGAGTCTGGCACCTTCTCTGTTTTCTTTAAGGAATCCCAGGCTGTTAGAAATTATTTTAGGTCCCTCATGCAGCAGAGTGTGGCAAGAGGAAGGAGAGACAGGCAGGAGTGAATGGAGAAAACAGAATTCAGTCGACTGGGAAGAAAAAATTTTTTTCTCAAAAAATAAGAACTTAGGAGAGAAAAAAGAAAGCATAAAGGCATACACACCCAAAAATACACACATACACATACTACACACAAATATGCACATGCACACATACATACATACACACTGGATGAAGAGAGCCAAACTCTGTGAAATATTTGAGGAGATTTATTCTGAGCCAAATATGAGTGACCATGGCCTGTGACACAGCCCTCAGGAGAGCCTGAGCACATGTGCTCAAGGTGGTCGAGGTACAACTTGGTTTATACATTTTAGGGAGACATGAGACATCAGTCAAATGCATTGAAGACATGCATTAGTCCAGTCCAGAGAGACAGGACAACTTGATGTGTGTGGGAGGGGTGCTTCCAGGTTATAGGTGGATCTTAAAACTTTCTGATCGGCAATTGGTTGAAAGAGTTATTATCGGCTGGGCGCGGTGACTCACGCCTATAATCCCAGCACTTTGGGAGGCCGAGGCGGGTGGATCACGAGGTCAAGAGATCGAGACCATCCTGGTCAACAAGGTGACAATCTTGGATCATCGCAGCCTCCACCTCCCAGGTTCAGGCGATTCTCCCGCCTTAGCCTCCTGAGTAGCTGAGATTACAGGCGCCCACCACCACACCTTGCTAATTTTTGTATTTTTGGTAGAAGACAGGGTTTCACCATGTTGGCCAGGCTGGTCTCAAACTCCTGACCTCAGGTGATTCACCCACCTCAGTCTCCCAAACTGCTGGGATTACAGGCATCAGCCACCATGCCAAACCTGGCCCCCCTGCCCCCAGCTTTTTTTTTTTTTAAGAGAGAGGGTATTGCTCTGTTGCTCAGGCTGGAATGCAGTGATGTGATCATGGCTCACTGCAGCCTCCAAGTCCTAGGCTCAAGCAATCCTCCCACCTCAGCCTTCCATGTAGCTAGGACTATAAGTGGGTGCAGCCATACCCAGCTAATTAAAAAAATTTTTCTTTTGTAGAGACAGGATCTCACTATGAGACAGGTCTTGAACTCCTGGTGTCAAGCAATCCTCCTGCCTCGGCCTCTCAAAATGTTGGGTCTACAGGCATGAGCCACCATGTCTGGCCTTATTGGTCATTTGTATATATTCTTTGGAAAACTGCCTATTCCAATTCCTTGTGCATTTTAAAACTAGGTCTTCCCATTGTTGGGCTGTATCTCTTTTTATTTTTTATCACAGTTCTTACTCTCTGACATGATCTTGCTTTTTAAATTTTTTGTCTGTCTTCTCTTATTAGTAGCTAAGCCCCATGAGGTCAGGGATCTTGTCTGCCCTGTTCCCTGCTATGTCTCCAATACCCAGAACAGTTCCTCCTTCGTAGTTAATGTTTGGTGAGTCAGTGAATGAATCCTCCGTAGTGAGAAGAAGAGATATGATGACTCATTAACACATTCATTCATTCATTCATTAAGCAGAGGTGTATCTGGGAGCTTTCTGCCTCCCTGCAGCTCTGACAGAGATCCTAACCTGGGTCTGGGGACCTCTAAAAGGCCCACTGTAATCACCAGCCCTAGAATATTGTGAGGCTTATCTCATGACCCTGACTGCAGCTCTGATTAGCTGACAGCCCCTCCCGCAGAGGGTGGCAGATGAGTATGAGATGAGGCTTGGCTCAGGGCAGAGCCGGGTAGAAGCATGCTGGAAGTTTGCATGCGTTTGTTGTTCATTGCTGCATAACAAGGTATCATACATGAAGCAGCCTCAAAAAACCCCTACTTATTAGCTCTCAATTCGGTGGGTCAGAAGATCAGCACTGGGTGACAGGGTTCTTTGGTTAGAAACTTACAAGGCTGAGGCTGGGTACGGTGGCTCAAGCCTGTAATCCTGGCACTTTGGGAGGCCAAGGCAGGTGGATCACTTGAGCCCAGGAGTTCAAGATCAGCCTGGCCAACATGGCGAAACCCTGTCTCTACTAAATATACAAAAAAAAAAAAAAGTTAGCTGGGTATGGTGGTGCATGACTAAATTCCCAGCTACTCAGGAGGCTGAGGCAGGAGAATCACTTGAACCCAGAAGGCGGAGGTTGCAGTGAGCTGAGATGGCCCCACACACTCCAGCCTGGGTGACAAAGTGAGACTGTCAAAAAAAAAAAAAAAAAAAAAAAAAAAAAAGGAAAGAAAAAGAGAAAGAAAGAAACTTACAAGGCTGAAATCAAGGTGTTTTCCAGGCTGTCTTCCTGCCAGAATTTTCGGGAGGAATCTGGCTGAATGCATTTGCCAGCAGTTGTAGGACTGGTCCTGAGGTCCCCATCTCCTTGCCTGCTATCAGCCAGGGTCCCCTCATAGCTCTAGAGGCTGCCTGGATTCCTTGCCACATTGCCCCTTCCATCTTCAAAGCCAGTAGAGAGAGAGATTCTCCCATATGTCCAGTCCCCCTCATACTTTGAATCTCTTTTGCCAGGAAGAGCCTTGTCTCTCTTAGGCCCTGCCCCCTGCCACCTGTTAGGTCAGGCCCACTAAGGAGAATATTTTTTTCTTAGAGTGAACTGGACCATCTATCCCCTACTCAGTGGAGGGGATTATACAAGGGTGTGGTTCACTGTGGGTTCTGCCTACCTCAGTGAACTGGAAATATTGTTCTCACGTTCTCCAAGGAGTTCTTCTGTTTTCACAGATGACCCTGACCTTGATGATCACATACATACCCGGCTCACCCCCTGTGCTGACTTAGCTTGTGCTCTGGGGACATCTCCACAGGATATGGCCTGGCCTCCTGCCACCTGAGGGACCTCAGCTTCTGAGCCTAGCGGGTGGTCGGCGGCGGTGATGAAGCCGGCGCCTTCACTGCCTTCTGCCACCCAACTGTGCCCTCTAGTCTCATTCTTTCTCTGTGGGCAAAACAGGAAGTGTGGGGTGACCCAAACCCTGGTCCAGGTTGGCCAGGTTGTCTCACACAGACAACTCTGTCCTTCCACCTGCAGAGAGATGATCACCTCTACGAGAGCCCATGCCATGTACCAGACATGACTTGGCCCCCCAGCCTCTGCTCCCACCCTCCACAGTCCATTCTCTGCACCACAGCCAAAAAGATCCTGTAAAAACCTGAGCCAAATGATGTCCCCAGCTGCTCCATTCAAAATCACACCCTACAACCTACACTCTTTATCCCCTTCCTTGTCTTACCAAATGGTGACAAGTGTCATGGCTTCTGTAGGCGACCCGGCGAGCCTCCCCTGGACCTGGGCAGCATCCCCTGGTTGGGCTATGCCTTGGACTTTGGAAAAGATGCTGCCAGCTTCCTCACGAGGATGAAGGAGAAGCATGGTGACATCTTTACTGTAAGTGCCTCTTGTGCCTCAGGAGGGATGGAGATGAGTGCCTGGGCCTCATATCTGGTTTCTGCTGATTCCTTCAACATCTGTCCCTATGCTAACCCCCTCATCCATCATCCACCCTAGTGGTCGAGCCAGTTTTCTCTCCAGCTACCTGTCCAGCTGTACACCCAACACTGACCTAACATCATCCCCTCAGTCTCCCTCTTGCTCTTCGCAGCGTGGAGTTATGCAGTCCCTCAATATCTATCCAGTACTTGTATATCCATGGACCTTCATCCATCCATTCTGTTTCCATCCATTCAACATCCATCTTCCCATTCCATCCTTCTGCCTGTCCACCTAGTGTCTACCCAGCATCCTTCCATCCTTATATCCACCCAGCATTTATTTGCCAACCTCCATCTATCCCCCCATCAGTCTTTCTATAGATTCACCTGACATCTGTCGATTAATTTATCCATCTTCTATCCCTTCATCTGTCCACCCAGATCTACCTCGTGTTCTTCCACTCATGGATCCAACATCCATCCAACTTTCATCCGTATATAGCTGGCCCTCTTTGTCCATGGGTTCCATACCTCTGGATTCAGCCAGCCATGAATTGAAGATATTTGGGGAAAAATGCATTGGTATTAAACTTTTAGAGACTTTTTTCTTGTAATTCTTTCCTAAAAATATAATATAACAACTATTTATATAGCATTTACATTGTGTTAGGTATTATAAGTAATCTAGAGATGGCTTAAAGTATAAGAAAGGATGCATGTAAGTTATATGGGACTTGAGCATCTGTAGATTTTGGTATCTGCAGGAAGTCCTGGAACCAATCCTCCATGGATGCTGAGGGATAACTAGTCAGTTTCCACTAATTTTCACTTTTCTATTTATCTATGCATGTTTCTATTCATCTGCCACTATCCAACCAACACTCAGCTGTATTCAGTATTCCATGTCTCTCCACTGGATATACAGCTATTTATATCTCATCCATCCATCCTTACATCTATTTAAATGACCACTGCCCACTCACCCACCTTCCATGTATCTTTCCAACTTCCATCCAATTAACATTCATCCTTCACTTTACCCAGTATCTACCTAGCATTCTCTTATTCATGTACCCAACATTTATTCATACATTTGGTTTCCAATGAACCTCCAGCTGCCCTTCCATCCATCTTTCCATTCAACATAGATTCATTGATTTATCCTTCCATTTATCCACCTATCTGACATTCTATCCACAAGTATTTACTCAGCAGTTTCCTTCCTTCCTTTCCTCCCTCTCTCCTTCCCTCCCTCCCTCCCTCCCTCCTTCCTTCCCTCCTTCCTTCCTTCCTTTCTCCCTTCCTTCCTTCCCTCCTTCCTTCCTTCCCTCCTTCCCTCCCTCCTTCCCTCCTTCCTTCCTTCCTTCCTTCCTTCCTTCCTTCCTTCCTTCCATTCACTTATCCATCCACCCATCCATCCATCTTCCCATTTACTCTTCTACAATCCACCTACTGGAATTTACCCAACAGCATCCTTCCATCCATTCATCCATCCATCCATTCATCCATCTATCCAGTCTTTCATCCATCCATCTATTCATCCTTCCTTCCTTCCATCCTTCCACCCACTTATCCATCCATCCATTCTTTCATCTGTTCATCCATCCATGATGTGCACAGGATCCATCTGCTGCCTTCTCTCCTGGCTGCTGGAGATATGGCAATAACCAAGATAGTCATGGCAGGTGCTTAAGAGTGAGGTGGTGAAGAACACAGCCTTTGATTTTAAAAAGCACCACACTCCCAAATTCCAGTCCCAACGCTCCCACTTCTCAGTTATGAGGTCTTGGGCTCATTTCATCTCTTTTCTAAGTCTCATTTCTTTCAGCAATAAATAGATGAGTGATGGTCCCTACCTCACAGGGTGGTGGTGAGGTGTAGGTAAGAGAACATAGTCCGTTACTGCTGAGTGGGGCAGTGCCTGGCACGTGGCAAGCCCCTGACCACTGTGAGCAGCTGCTGTTCACAGGGACACTCCTCATTCTATCCCTGCCAACTTCCCACAGATACTGGTTGGGGGCAGGTACATCACCGTCCTCCTGGACCCACACTCCTATGACGCGGTGGTGTGGGAGCCTCACACCAGGTTCGACTTCCATGCCTATGCCGTCTTCCTCATGGAGAGGATTTTTGATGTGCAGCTTCCACATTATAGCCCCAGTGATGAAAAGGCCAGGATGAAACCGTGAGTGGCTGGAGATGGCATCTGGGGGTGGGCCAGGGTGGGCGATTCACTGCTACCCATGTGGCCCAAGTCATGCTTGGCTCCAAAGCAAGCGTTCAGTAAAAACATTTCGAACAGCTCTGGGACCCTGAGGCTGGGGGAGGGAAATGCCTGCAGGTGCATATTTCCTTTTGGAAGCCAAATGTTCATGTTTTTGTTTCCTGTGTCAGGACTCTCCTCCACAGAGAGCTGCAGGCACTCACGGAAGCCATGTATGCCAACCTCTGCACGGTACTGTTGGACGATGCTACGGAAGTGGGCAGTGGCTGGCACGAGATGGGTCTCTTCGACTTCTCCTACAGCTTTCTGCTCAGGTGAGGCTGTGCAGCCCCCACCCTCCTTCTGGGGCCCGGCACTTTGACCTGTGTCAGCCGTGAGCAGTGGCCAAGGGAACCGCGAGGACTCTGTGGGTGGGGGAAGCAATTTGAGATGCCCAAAGCAAAGACTGCAGGAAAAGACCCCATGCACCAGGGCCCCAGGTGTTCATCTGACCTAGTTCATGAACTTTCAAAGGAGACTCTGGCTGGAGATGAGACCTTGCAGGTCATTCAGAAAGGAAGTTGCAGAGCAAAACTTCAGAGGCTGTTATAAGTAACATTTTCGGTGCCACAAAAGAAGTAGCACTCAAATATAAATTTCCTCAGCAAGGCAATTTACCTCTATGGAAGGGTGCAGCTCACAATGGTGAGCACACACCTGGACAAGGGAGGGGAAGGGAAACTTAGCCTGACAGTGGTCCCCTACTGCTGTCATTCCCTTATTGGCTAGAGTTAGACCGCATAGTCTAGTCTAATTCTGATTGGCTATTTTAAAGGGAGCAGGAGTATGAGCCAGAGTGGTGGGGTGGGTAGTTTGATGGGAAGGACGGTTACAGGCAGGTCAGAGCAGGTAGCCACGGGTCAAAGCAGGTTACTGGAGCAGGTAACCAGGATGAGTCAGGACCGAGCAAGGGACTGGGGGAACAGATGTGAACTACTGATTAGAACTGGTGGAAAAGGAAAAGGTTGTTACTGAAACTACAAGGAAGTTGAACTTTAAAATGGGGAATTAAAGAATAAACAAGCTGAACATACTGATATATTGATTCTCTGAAGAGAAACTTGAGGTTCACTATATCTTACAAAGCCATCTTGTCCCATGGCGTCCAGACTTTGGAATTTCACAGAACAGAAAAACAAAATGTTTGGGAGACCAATTTGGGACCTAACCTTTTATCCGATCTTGTAAATGTATGTTGAAACCTGTGCAGCCGAACGCTCCTTCCTTCAGTCGTGCCGGGCACTGTGCCGGGCTCTGGGATACAACAGGGAACAGGACAGATGAAGTCCCCAAATTCACGCGCTGACACTCCAGTGGGGGAGGCTGAATCAGGTTATGTCAGAGAGTGATAAACACGATGACAGAGATTCACGGTGGGGTGACAGCATCTGGAGGGCTTTCTTCAACAGACTGACAAGGCAGGGTCACACTCTGGGGGTCTGGCTTCAGAGCCAAGACCTACCTGCAAAGTGCCCACCACCCAAGACTCTAGGCAGGGGAAACAGCAGGTGCAAAGGCCCAGAGGTGGGAGGAAGCTCGTGGAGAGGGCCAGTGTGGCCGCAGCATAAAGAGCCAAGGAGGGACGGCGGAAAGGCCAGAGATGGGGGCAGAAGCAGAACTCAGGGAGCCGGAGGCCAGGGAAGGCTTTGGAAATTGTGCTGAGGAAGATCAGGTGACAACAGGGGTTTGCACAGGGGCAGGACATGATCTGACTTAGTTTTAAAGCCCCTTCTGGCTGCTGGATGGGGGATGGACTGTAGGCGTGGAGAGGGGTGGAGAGGGAGGCAAGAGGACCCAGCAGGAGGCTGCCAGGTGTCACTGAGAATGGTGGCAGCCCATGGAGGTGATGAGAATTTGGGTAGCTTTTGGAGATGGAGTTCACTGGCTCTGTTGGGAGATTTGACTGGGGCAGCAGTGGGGATGGGGAATCGTGGGTGTGCGTGGGGGTGATATAGCGGTGTTAGGAACAGCTCCCTGATTTTTAGTGGTGCCATTAACCAACCAGCATTTAATTAAAAAAAAAAAAAGACATTTCAACCCCTCCAAGAAATTAGAACCACATAGTTCTAGGATAAAGGGCAGCTATTTGCTGACACATACAGGCACGTGGGTACAATTATAGTGTGTGTGCATATGATGTGTGTAGACTCAGCTCATTGAATGCTCACAATCACTCTAGGTGGCTGGCACTTTACATGCTCCATTGGACAGATGAGAAAACTGAGACCTGGAGAGCCTGAGTCATTTGCCCAGAGGCCTGTGTTGGGGTCAGGGCAGGTTCCGCCCAGAAGCGATGCAAACAGTGTCAAGGGCTGTAATTGGCTGGTCCACCGATGACAATTACAATTACTGTGGATGATGCTGGTCTGGTCCACGCTGTCATTGTTTGAGGGGACTGAGGTCAAGAGAGGGGCAGCCAAAATGGCCCAGCAAGTTCACAGTAGGAGTTCTCCCACGTCTCCTGGCTCTTGGGTCTCTGTGCAGACAAAGAAGCCGGCGAGAAAGCTGAAGCACTGGGGGAGGCAGGCTTGGGGGGCAGCAGGGTCTGGATAGGCTCTGTGGTACAGCAGGCATGGGGGAATCAGCTCAGGGGGAATCAGATGTAAATCCATACCTGTAAATCAGTAACTGTGTCTTTCGGGCCTGAGGCCTGGGCTGGAGTGCCTGCCACCTGGCTTGCCAGCTGTGGGCCTTTTCACTGCCATCTGCAGCCCCTGAAATAGAAAGGGAATGGGCAAGTTGGATGGCAGGGACACAGATGTGAAAGAGCTGCAGATTCAGGTAGCCCAACCATGAGGTGCCACCTCCTACACTTGCCAGCCTGGCCTGTTGGCCCTGGCCTCACCGACTCACACCCAAAGCTCTCCTGTCCTCACCCTGTAGGCCTGGCCTCCCCTCCTCCCACCTGCCTCCCTGCTGAGCCTTGAACAGGCCAGGCACACTCTCTCTTTATGGCCTTTGTTGTTTCTGTTCCTTCGCCTGGGAATGCGGTTCCCCACACATCTGTGTGGCTCCCACCCAACTTCTTCAAGCCTCATCGCGAGCGCCACCTGCTCAGAGAGGTCCTTATTGAGTTCCAGTTTCGTGATGGCCCTCTCCCCTGACGCAGCTAGGTTAAGCTTTACTTTTCTTTATGGCTCTAGCGCCGCCTGTGGGTCGTGTGTGTATTTACACATGGGATTATCCAGTCTTCAGCCAGGCTGTTTTGATACGGAGCTGCTGGAGGAGGGGCCTTCACTTCCACAGTGCAAAACCTTGTGGTCCCGAGTTTACTTTTTTCTTTTTAAAGACATAGTTTCGTTCTTTTGCCCAGGCTGGTGCAATGGCCCCATCTCTGCTTACTGCAACCTTCATCTCCCAAGTTCAAGCGATTCTCCCGCCTCATCCTCCCAAGTAGCTGGGATTACAGGCATGTGACACCACGCCCAGCAAATTTTCATATTTTTAGTAGAGACGGTTTCACCATGTTGGCCACGCTGGTCTCAAACTCCTGACCTCAGGTGATACACCCGCCTCAGCCTCCCAAAGTGCTAGGATTACAGGTGTGAGCCACTGCGCCCGGCGGGGTGTACTTTTTTGGTTGATTTTTCATTGCCTGCTTTGGTAGAAATATATGTACGGGGAGATGGTTCTCTGAGTTAGGAAAAAACAACAGTGCAAGTGTGAAGGCAAATGACAACTACTGTCAACTGCAGCGTCACCAAGACCACAGGGCCTCGTGGGGACCACGGTGGCCTGGCGAGCACGTGTCTCTCCGAAAAAGGGGGCTGCAAGTCTGCTCCTGCCAGGTTGCCAGCTAGATCCCTTTTTCAAGATGAGATGAGGGGGAAATCCAGATTTTGTGAGTTTCCCCAAATGTTTGAAGGTAGCTTTAGTTTGTGTTCAGGAAAACTCCCTTGATAAACACACTTGTGGACTGAATCCAGTTCGTGGGCTGTACCTTTACAACTTCTGCCATCACTGGGCAGGCGAGGGACAGGGCAGGGACTGCACAGGGCTCTCCGGCCCCCACCCACCCTCATTCCTGCTTCCACTCTCTCCTCATCCTCATCTGGGGAAACCCCTCTCCTGGGAGGTCCTGGTCCCTCGTCTGCACAGGGACCCAGGAGCTCAAGGGGAGGATGAGAGGGTAAGGCCCCGGGCATTGGTTGTGTCTCTGCTGAGGCCCCAGCCCTACCCACCTCGTGGACAGAATGAAAACCTGCAGTTTCTCTCCTAGGACTGAGGTCAGCAGGCTGGGCAGGGGCTGAACTCCTGGGGTATTTAAAGGGGGCTGGAGGTGAAGGTGTGTCCTCTGAGTGTGCTTGTTGAGTGTGTGTGTGTGTGTGTGTGCATGCCTCAGTGAGAACACATGCTAGCTCCCATGTCTCACCTTTTTTCACACCTGACCAGGCCCTGTCCTCCTTCTCAGGCCTCTCAGAGCCACTCAGGTCAAGCACAACCTTCCCACTGATGCAAATGCCCTGCCCTGTGTGGCAGCCCTGACAGCCCCAGGCCCTCCCACCCTCTGCCTGACACCCCAGTTCCAGTGCCTGCACCAGCCACACCTGGCACCTCTCCCACCAGGCACGGCTGCATCCTCAGCTCTGGGCCTTTGCACAGGCTGTGACCACGTTCCTCTTCTGCTTCCCCCATCATCCTGTAGGTTTCAGCTCAAAACCTGCCTCCTCTAGGAAGTCTGCCCTGAATCCCTCCCTGGGAGCAGTCGTCTCCTCCCCTTCTCTGTGCCCCCGTCTCAGCATAGTCCCCTCGAGCTCTCTGCTGCAGCCTCATCAGCCTCCTTGCTGCTCCCAGCACCAAGCTTCCTCTGCCTAAGGACGTCGCACCTGCGGCTTGCTCTGCTTCCGACCCCTCCCTCCGCTCTGCCCATGGCTGATCCTTCTCAGCCTTCAGCTGTCAGCTTAATGCCAGCCCCTCCCTCACCTGGCACCTGACACCAAGACCCTGCCCTCCCATCCTGCTACCCAGCTTTGTGTCTGACAGTGCCACAGGGCACCAGCTGGCACATTACTCATTTTACTCATCCTCTTGTCTGTTGTCTGTCTCCCTGGGCTGAGGGGTTAGCTCCTTGAGGACAGGGATTTTTGTTTTTTTCACTGCTGACTGTTCAGTGCCCAGAACAGTCCCTCGAACACAGTAGGATTAGTAGATGCTTACCGGATGTACGAATGAAGCTTCTAAGAACCTCTGACCCTCTGTCTATCACCCCAGAGCTGGCTACCTGACTCTTTACGGAATTGAGGCGCTGCCACGCACCCATCAGAGCCAGGCTGAGGACCGCATCCATTCAGCTGATGTCTTCCACACCTTCCGCCAGCTCGACCGGCTGCTCCCCAAACTGGCCCGTGGCTCCCTGTCAGTGGGTGAGCACCATGGGGGCCCCAGTGAGCGGTGGGGAGGATAGAAAGACCCAGAGGGGGAGCCCAACTCAAGGTGGAGGACCAGCAGCAACACAGGCAGAAGAACATCCAATGCCCTGTGAGGCAGTAAGATCCCCATCACTGGGGGTATGCAAGAGCGCGATGGTGGGGAGCCAGGGCTTGGACCAGAGCTTGGGTTCCTGGTGGAAATCCCAATCAGTGCATTTGGAGTGGGGCCTGAGAATCTCTGGGTGTGTGTGTTCCTTTTTTTTTGTTTTAAGGTTTGAGTTGCTTTAAAGGTTTTTACAAGTAGTTCATGCTCATTATACAAAATTCAAGCTACATAGAATAATTTAGAAGGAAGAATAAAAGAGGTCTCCACTTTCTCCCCAGCATCAGCCCACCACTTCCCTCTATAGAGGCAACCACCATCACTAGCTTGGAGTACATCCTGGGAGCACTTTCTCTAAACAGACACACAGTTGTGTGTTATTTTTATTGTTTTTTATTTTTGAGGCTTTTAACTTCTTTTTTTTTTTTTTTTCCTGAGGTATGATTTATATGCAGGAAAGCACACACATCTACATGCACTGAGAGGCCAGACATGGGGCTCACGCCTGTAATCTCAGCAATTTGGGAGGCCGAGGTGGGTGGGTCACTGGAAGTCAGGAGTTCGAGACCAACTTGATCAACATGGTGAAACCCCGTCTCTACTAAAAATACAAAAGTTAGCCAAGCATGGTGGCAGGCACCTGTAATCCCAGCTACTCAGGAGGCTGAGGCAGGAGAATCACTTGAACGTGAGGTTGAGGTTGCAGTGAGCCAAGATCACGCCACTGCACTCTAGCCTGGATGACAGACAGATTCCATCATAAATAAATAAATGCACGGAGAGGTAGATCTAAACATTTTATGCTCTTTCCCAGCCGTTATTCAACCCGCCCCCAGGCAACCACTGTACTGGTTTCCTTTACCTCCAATTAGTTTTGACTATTCTTCAACTTCCTAGGAATGGAATCACACAGTATGTGGCCTTTTATGTCCGGCTTCTTTCACTCAACGTAATGTTGGGAGATTCATCCAGGTTGCTGTATGGATCAGTAGTTCAATTTTTATTTTTTTATGTTTTTGTCTTAAAAACAATTTTTTTTTAGATGGGGTCTTCCTATGTTACCTCTACTGGTCTTGAACTTCTGAGCTCAAGCAGTCCTCCTGCCTTGGCCTCCCAAAGTGCTGAGATTACAGGAGTGAGCCACCATGCTTTTTTATTTTTAATTTTTCTCTGAACCAGGTCTCACTCTGTCACCCAGTCTGGAGTTCAGTGGTGCAACCTCGGCTCACTGCAGCCTCAACCTCCTGGGCTCAGGTGATCCTCCCACCTCAGCTTCTTGAGTAGCTGGGACTATAGGTATGTGCCACTATGCCTGGCTAATTTTTAAATTTTTGTAGAGATGAGGTCTCATTGTTTCCCAGGCTGGTCTCCAACTCCTGAGCTGAAGCAATCCTCCCATCTTGGCCTCCCAAAGTGTTGGGATTACAGACGTGAGTCACTATGCCTGGCCAACAGCTTGCTCTTTTTATTGCTGTATAGCATTTCACTAGAGTAATATACCACGATTTGTTTATCCATTCCTGGTTGATAGACATTTGAGTAGTCCCCAGTTTGGAGCTGTTAGGAAGAGTTTGTTGTGAATACTCTTCTATGTGTCTTTCAGTGCAGATGTGACCTCATTTCTCTTAGCTGATGGCCTGTGCTTTTTCTTTTTTTGAGATGGAGTCTCGCCCTGTTGCCCAGGCTGGAGTACAGTGACACAATCTCAGCTCACTGCAACCTCCGCCTCCTGTATTCACGCTGTTCTCCTGCCTCAGCCTCCTGAGTAGCTGTGATTACATTTTTGTAGAGATAAGGTCTCATTGTTTCCCAGGCTGGTCTCCAACTCCTGGTCACACCACCCCAGACTAATTTTTGTATTTTTAGTAGAGACGGGGTTTTGCCATGTTGGCCCGGCTGGTCTTAAACTCCTGACCTCAAGTGGTCCATCCACCTCGGCCTCCCAAATCGGCCTGCTGGGATTATAGGTGTGAGCCACTGTGCCCAGCCTGGCCTATGCTTTTATAACTTAGATATATCACACTAGAAGAATTGTTCCACCACTTAGAGATTTCACTCAACTCCATGTCTACAGTATTTCCACATCGATTTGTGAGAATCTACCTCATTTATTTTTGGCTGCAGAGTGGACTCAGTGTTGGTAAAGAGTGTCCTGGCTATTTCCATGTGCAGGAGCTGTAGGAACCACTGGGCTGTGCCATTCCCTGGGTCATGTACCCCAAACTTCCCGGATGAGCGTTGCTCATAACATAGTTCTTGAGCCCCATCCAGGTCCATAGGAATTCAGATCCCCAGGGGACAGCCTGGAAAACTGCCTGTCTGACAAGCGCCCTGGAAAGGTTGGGAAGTGCTGTGTGTGCTGTGCTCAGACACCTGCAGCAGAGGCCTGGA